AGACAGGACGACCCCCCTGACCCGGAGAAGGCACTCTGCCCTTTTCCGGCTCAAGACCATGGCCTCGGATTTGGAGGATAATCTTTGGATAATCTGGTCTAACGCTTAATTAAAATCGATACAGGATCAGGAAAAAAATTGTGATATATCAATGTATCAATATTTTTTAAAACAAACTGAAGCAATGACGGAAAAGAGTCGACCAAAAACTGCTCCACAACCATGAGAGAGACTGATGGGGAAAACCACAAAATATGGTATAAATGTCAAATTTTGAGTGAACAGTCAGCTTTCTAAATTAATCAAAACCAATTTATTTTGATTTATTTCATCAGTAACCATGATGATGAACGTGATTATTCTCTTTTGTTATCTTGCACAAAGGGGACATTAACCGAACCAACACGCACGTTTTTATGTTTTCATTGAGTACAACAATCACGCTGAAAATCTGATTGATAAAATGATTTTTACTGATTTTATGTTTTTGTTTTTCTGCAGGGAACCAACCCTCTGTTCCGAAGCTCAACGTCTACTTTTAAAAACGTAACTTATAAGAACACGAACAGAGTACAGATTATCCAGGAAAATCGCTGACGACGACAAACCGGCGGCGAAGCGAACATCCTGAGTGTGTGTGTGTGTGTGAAGGAGATGTTTCACCACAGACGGACACAAAAAGATGAATTTACTGCTGTAAATGTGCACTGCTGACCTCGTACTGTAAAACACAGAACTTTTGAACTATTTCTGACTACTGAAAAAGAAAAAAATGTTTATGTGTAAATATCCAGACGTTTTATATTTGTTTTCTGGGAAAGCAAAGCTGAGCCTTTAATGGTGAAAATGTTTGTTGTGTTTTGTTGTTTTAGTGATGATCTAACTATAGAATAGAATGGAAAAAGTCTAAATTTTGTCTACATTATGGGGCAGGCGATCATCTAAATGTTTGTGTTGTTTTATATGTTGCAATGGGTGAAAAGAACTGAAGTTAAAAATAAACAAAACTGTTTCTAAAACCTGAACATATCAAAATCATAACTAAAAGTTTTAATTTGTGAAACACAGTACAATGCTCAGGGCTCTCAAGTTTTGACCTGAACTTGGAGTGAAATGCTAACAAAAGGCAGGAAAACTCAAGCTAAGAGCCCATTTTATATTGCTATTACTACAGCTAACAAAGCATTTGCTAAAAGCTAAATGTAATAAAACTTCAGCTAAAGGCTAAAATTAGTTAAAATGCATATACAAGCAAAAATGAGCTAATAGCTAAATGTAGCAATACTGCTAAAAAATCTAATTAGCAACATAGCAACTTTATCCTGCTTACTTTAGCTCTGAATCTGGACCATGGTCTGCTCTCTTGGGACCAATAAAGTATCAAAAGTTAAAAAGGTAAACAGAATAAAAACAAAACATTAGTTTTCACTTTTTGTTAGAAAGAATGTGTCATGTAAAACCATTTTAACAAACACACTTATCAATTTATTCTTAAATTAAATTTAATTTCTGGAGCTCAAGTCAGGACCTCCCACATTGTAACTTATGAACCCTCAACAGCCTATACGCCACGGACATCCGGTCCAACACGTGATGCCACTCCCATCACTTCCGGTTCGCGGTCAACACAGTGTTAGCAAAAGATTTTTTCACCCGACAACGACTCTTAATGATCTCCACAGTACAGAATTAGCATATTACATGTGTAGCATCCCCGGTTGAATGATGGTCTACTCCCAAACTGATGGTTCACTTTGCCTTTTATTACAACGTTGAACWGGCTTGAAACCTTGGKGAACACACCGTAAGAGCTACAGAAACAAACAATTCAAATTAGTAACAACTTACAGCATGTAATATTAGCCTTAAAACATTCACTTCCTTAATATTTACCAATGAACTGATTTATCTTTACTCGTTTTATCATTGCAAAGTTACGAGACCTCAAATGGAGCGCTATATTTACTGTAAATTAATATTAACACACACACACTCATGTGAAATGTAACTTAAATGACAAATTACAACMTWCTTGTTATGCATGACATTCAATAAAGCATAATAATTTTCTACATAAGCACTTTACAAAACTATAAAATTATCTCTCATTCTTATTAGCTTAGCATGTTAGCGCTCTCTACTGGTGTCAAATAAAACAATACTGCTTAAAGTACTACAGAATAAAAGTTAGCAACCAACAATAATCACAAACCTTGTTCCCATGTCAACCAGGTGCTAAAGAACCTGTAAATTATTCAACAGATGACATTTTCTCTCTTCTTCAGTTCAATGTCACAGGGAAGACACGTTTTCAGTTCATGTTAAACTTATTACAGCATTTTACCGCAGTTAGTTCTACTTTGTGGCACCTTCGCGTTGTAAAACGTYCTTCAAAATAAAAGCATCCAACTCAATAGTAAATTAAGTAAACAAATATAGAACAAATTTCACAATAAAACATTTGCAGGTCTGTTACAAAATGTACCAACATTAACACAGGAGACGTACAGGTCCAGCCAAGTGGGAAAATATCACTCCAAAGTGAAAATTAAAGCCATAAAAACAAAGGAAAGACTTTCATGTTTGTGGTTCCAGAATTTAGCCTTTTTCACTATTCCTTGGCTGTATCTTACACCCTGTGAAAAGATAACTCCGCCCCAAGGCGAAATTTGAAAAATGCATCAAAGTGGGTAGGGGAGGGGGGGTTAGAGAGC